GCAGTTGTCACTGAACGCACCTTCAAGGGAGTCCGCTGCAAAAAGCGAACTTTCGACATTATTTTTACAACAGTTGGCCCCGCCCTCCTCCTGCGTTGCTCAGCTGCAGTTGGTCTAGGTGGCACAATGAAGTCGTCTTTCACGAAGAGTAAAAGGAGAGGCTTACGAGTGCCTGTCTCTTATACACATCTAGATGTGTATAAGAGACAGGGGTTTAAGTGCTTAGGGGGGGGGAGCGGGGCCCTAATCTCAAAAAAAAAAAAAAAGAAGGGGGGGGGGGGGAAAGAAAAAAGAATAAAAAAAAAAATTTTTTTAAAAAAAAATTTTTATTAAAAAAAAAAAAAAAAAAAAAAAAAAAAAAAAAAAAAAAAAAAAGCTTCTACTTAGGAGGGAGAATGCATGCGTAGGATTGCGTGAGCGAATCCGCCCACAGTACACCACACACTGTATGCTGGATTTGATTGTTTTGCCAGTTTCCCTAAGATCAAGGTCTGAACACCTGTGTAACAATTTGATGCCTGATAAAATACTGAATGCCAGGCCAAAGGACACGCCATTCACCGAGCCAGCCAGACCTCAAAGGCGACGAGAGCCTGAAGGGTGGGCAGCTAAAATTACTGCTTCTTTGTGACTTCTTGCCTGTGATAAGCAACCAGACAAATGCCCCCAGAACAGATGGTACACATGTGGTGTTTTGTGTTTAAAAGAAAAGAAAAGAACTACTGAAATTCAAAGTTGATTGAGAACCGCAGCGGCACAGCCATTTCAATTTCAAAAAATGAGAGCACACAATGCCATACATGCCTCCAGTGGTCACGTGGTCACCTCGAAAGGGGAATGGGCACACAGTGTTTCGGCAAACATTGGTTTTCAACTTTTCACATTATACGCGAGAGATGCACACTTGCAAATCCAAATTCTTCTGCAATAAACTTTCCTTGAAAAAAAAAAAAAAAAAAAAAAAAGGACTCAATATGCGAGGCTTCACTTCTCACAGTTAGCACATCAAGTCCATGACATGTGGCACAGAATACCACGATCACCCTTCTGCCTCATCTCAAGGCCTTTATCTACAACACTCAAAAGGCACTCAGGCGACTGATGATGAAAGGGATGTTCCAAAATATAGGGAATTGACAGGGCATACGCTAGTATATGCGAGAGAGAGAGAGAGAGAGAGAGAGAGAGAGAGAGAGAGAGAGAGAGAGAGAGAGAGAGAGAGAGAGAGAGAGAGAGAGAGAGGATTTTTCTCAGATCATGGGTTCAAATCTTGATGGCATCAGAAGGATGCAATAATATTATGGGCTATCCCCTTCAGTTCCTTTTTGAAAAAGTTAAAATGAATTTTCTCAGCGATTCTTTCCTTCAATAGAAGCTTCAACCACAATAGATCATACAAAGAGCCCACGTCGGGGGAAAAAAAACAAAAACAAAACAGACAGCCCATGTACTTCAGGTTCCAGTTTGCCAGAGGTGTTTCATTTTGTCTTTTCACAAAATCAATTTGACATTGCCATGTGCTGGCCCGTCTCCTTCTAAGCATGGGCATAGGCGTCCACTGTGCCGATTCTGGGTCCGAACACTGAGTCCCAGCTACAAGACCCAGTTCTGATTCCCAGCTGAATGCCACAGGGCACATATGGACAACCAACCCACCCCAGGGTGCACCGCGAGGAGGTAAGGAGACATCGCACCCCAATACATAAAGGCCGGCAAACAGACTGCCATTTCGAACACATGACAACATCGCAATCCAGTACATTAAGGCCAACAGGCAGACTTTTCATTCAAATCAAACAGACAAACAAAAAAAAAAACAGTACACCTGGCAATATCACCTTCACGAGAGGGTCCACTAACAACTTCTTCAAATTCATATCCATGCCCAATACTATGTCTCACATGGGTTACATACTCAACATTCAAGAAAAAAATTGTCACCTGTCAATGTCAGTCAGGGGGTGCATGGTCCTAAGTTCTCCTAACACTGCCTTAAAATTTAAAAGTAAAAATAAGAGTAATTATAATCCTGCCGCGAGGGATCATTCATCTGTGGAGAAATTCTAAGCACCCAGTACCAGTACTGATACCAGTACTGTGCCTGCTCAGTTAAAAAAAAATAATAATTCCCCTCTCCTTCTGAGCATATGGAGCCTACCCGGACCATGCATGCTGCAAAAGTAAGTGAGTGGCATCCGTACCAGATGCACAATGAAATGTTATAAGCGCATGGTCTCTCCACATGTGAGTTGGCTTGACTGATTGCATCCAAACCCCACTGCCAAACGGCTGCAATCGCTTCTTGCTGTCTTACTCAGAAAATCAAGCAGCGACTGCACCCATCCAGCACTGATAGCACCTAAATAGCATGATATAGTTGGTGCCATTGGTTGGCGACCAACCAGCCGACCATTCCACTGGTCTGCACCTACTGAAGAAAAATAATAATAATAATAAAAAATTGCAGGGTCCATAACCCCCAATTACCCCACCAACACCTTCATAAACCCCCCCAACACCCCCATAACCCCCCCCAACACCCTCATACCACCCCCCAACACCCTCATACCCCTCCCCCATAGCCCCATATACCCCCCCGATAACCCCCCTGAACCCCCCCCATACCCAAAAGCTTCTCAGCAGATTTGGGCTGTACTCAGTCAAGCGCAGTGTAGCCCCGAGCTCAGATTAAAAAAAAAATCAGTGGATGGCCCTCTAGTGACAGGTCGGCAAACTGCCTATGGGGCGACCCGACCAGTGGGCAAGAAAAACCATCGGCCGTCTGCGGTCTGACAACCCTGGTTGGTGCCATGTTCGCCTCCCTTTTTTTTTTTTTTTCTTTACGCGATTTTTTTTTTTTTTAAACGTGACTTTTTCCTGAGTTCTACTATGAAAGTGATAGGCCCGAGGGGTTGGCGTTACGGATTCCATCTGAACCCCACTGCCAAATGGCAGCAGTCGCTTCTTGCTGGCTTTTCGAAGTGATAAAGCAGCAACCAAACCCATCCAGCACTGGCACCACCTTAGATACTCAGTTGATCTTGTGTTTTACCTCCCCTTTTTCTTTTTTGTCCTTGATTTTGTCCTTCAGTCTTAGTATGAAAGTGATAGGACAAAGGTGTACACCGTACCAATAGGCATAAGAAGAGAATGAGAATGAGATTACACACAATGGAATGCAATCGAAGAAGATGACTTGAGCATTAATATCATGGTGTGCATCATCTCCTCCGCCACACCTCTTGACGGTTCACACCGCCACGGAAACTCAACCCTTCCACTCAATACGCCACTCAGATTGAGGTACCTCCTACTCTACAATAGGCATATGTCTGTGAGAACTGTTGCATTCTTGGTCAGACTAACATTCAATTATCCCCAGCTGACCTCAGATAAATGTGCATTATATCATAATGATGTAAACGAAAAGTCTTCTTCTTCTTTTAAACCACTCGTACCTTTCTCAGCTATCGATGCCAAGCCTAAAATCTCTGTGTGCGCCCAAAAAAAATGAACGAGCGTGGGCCTCATTTTGGATGGCACTGCCAGCCATTCCTGTCTGGTACCCAAACCGTCAAAAGTTGCCCGTGTTAACCGGCATGTATTTTTTTTTCAAGCGGGGGGTGCCAAGCCTAAAATCACCCTGCACGCCAAAAAAAACGAACGGGCACAGGCCTCATTTTGGCTGGCTCTGCCAGCCATTCCAGTCTGGTAGCCAAACCGTCGAAAGTTGTCCGTGTTAACCAGCGCGTATTTGTTTTTCAAGCAGGGAAGGTACTGGTGTTTTAAGTAAGGGCATATTCACACCAAGACTTTTCGGACTGAGCTCTGGATGCGATTGCAGTCAGATGCATCTACATCTGGCCGTGATTAGAGTCAGATACACACTTAGGAAAGTGCTACTGTGAGTACGCCCTAAATCTGTCTGGACTCTGGAGTCTTGATTCTGTCGACTCGGTGCTTGGCAATGTTTGCAATTTGCTCGGTACTGTTCTGTTGGTCTTGTCTCTTCGTTACCATGCCAGTAATTACTAATTACGGAAGAGAAGAAATTTCAAATAAAAAATGCATACTTGCAAGCAGACTCGTCCGGTCCGGTCCGCTTTGCCGCGTGCGGCACCCTCCCCCCGGACCGGACGGGGCCGTTTTTTTTTTGGGGGTGGGGTGGGGTGGGGGGGGTAACTGGTCGTCGGGCGCACATTCGTGCGCCGCGCGGGTTCGGTCCGGCGGTCCGCCGCACGTGCGGAACCACCCGGACGGCGTCCGCTTGCAAGTATGAGAAATAGCATTTGTCGACAATTTTTTGGTTCCATTGGAATTTGTTCTTGCACCTGCCTGTCAAGTTTAACGTTTTTCGCACCCAGTCATTCAAATACAATTATACAACACATGGTCTTCATATTCAAAGGGAGAGTATAGCTGATATACCACCCCCCCCCCCCCCCCCCCCCCCAACAACAACAACAACAACAAATCACATCATCCTTGTGCAGGGGCCATGCTAATCTTCTATGTAGTGTTCCAATTTTAAAGGATGTCCCGAAGTACATGTACACAGTGTTTTATCAGAAGTAGTCAAATTTAACCTGCTCATAATGATGGGCTCACATGCACCTGACCAAAGTAATGACCAGGTTCATCATTTTCTAGAATATGAATCATGTTAGCCAAAACAACGTCAGGGGAAACATCAGCGAAATAATTACGCACACTGGAAAGGGAAAAAAAAAGAAAACGGAAAAAGACCGGTAAGTGAAAGGAATTACTCACACTGAAATTCAGGTAGTAATACTGCGCAGCTGACTGAAGAGTGTAATGGTTCGCTCCATGCTGCGCAATTGGATGGTCAGATCGTCATTTGCAAAAATTTTCCGGAAACAAGAAAACCAGAAACAGAGTTCCATAGACATGAAAGTAAGAATTAGCATTGGAATCATTGGATCAATTAAATTCAATTTGTATTCTTTTTTTTTAACCAGGTAAGCAGTAAGTAAAATTTACTGAAAAGTTGTGAAAATTTGACAAGTCTAAATCTTGTGACGACACAGACATGAAACTGGGAATCCAATAATAATTTATAATATTAAAATTACGAGTATTAGAAATTTAGAATGATATGAATCAATGGTAGGTACCAATATCTATGGCATTGGGGGTACCCAGCCCATACGGGTCAATGGTAGACCCATGTAACTGTTTGATTAACAGACCTAAGTTGAAATCCTGATGGTGACCTTCGGGACATCCGTTACAATGGGGGTGGCACAGAGAAGATGGGCAACGCGCTGTGCAGGGGGAGAAAAAAAAAGAAAAGACTCAGCCCGCATAAGCTGGGTCGTTGATGATCCAGATTCCCTTCATGGCCTCCACTTCAAATAAGCAGCACTTGAGTCAGCTGGTCCCCTTTGCCTTGGCATTTGTTGAGGGGACACAGGCGGTTTCTCCCTATGTGTCCCTTCACACGACATCTGAAGCTCATCTGTTTAGCCGAGGTGGAGATGTACACTGTCTGCACTTGATGAGACACGAAGTGACAACGGCATCAGTAGTGCACTGCATACTCAATTCAACCGAGAGAGCATACGGTGGAACCAGTGAACCATTCAATCTGTGGAAACCTTAAGAAAAATAAAAAAAAGGGGCAAGTACTTTCAAGTCAAACCCCATGTTCAAAATGGGTAACTTTAGTGGTTCCGAAAAAATGGCAAAAAAGTCGACCCTAAAATTGCATTCACTACAGCGGCTAATGACTTGCGCGATTTGAAACCAACGCTAAACTTGCACATTTTCAAACTCACACCATGGCTACAGCACCGATTTGTCTATGCTTGCTTGCCTATTTCGAACGTGGTCTGACGGAGATCCTGACTTGTGAGTGCCCCAGATATAGACTGGAGCCTGCTTAATCTGGACGGACCTTTTTTCCCTTTAATTTGGACCATTTCTCAACATATGTGTATCATCCTTGGGCAGGGACCATGCTAATCTTCTCTATATCGTTCCAATCTTTAACGGATTTCCCAAAGGACTAATCTGGATGGACCTACGAAAAGGGGGTTGTTCATATCACCTCCTGTAGTAGAATCTAGTTTCTCCACAAAAAAAAAGAAAAGAAAAAAAGAAACGAAAAGAAAAGGAAGGAAAAGAAAAAAGATCCTGACTTGAGATCACTGCATCGCAAGATCGATGCCCTCCTCAGGGAGCGATCAATGCTGCCCAGGGATTCCTTTGGAGATAATGGAAGGAAGGGTCAGAGTATGTTGGTTATTGTAACTGAGGCTTGCCGGTAGAAAAGAAAACAAACTGATGTTCCAGTGAATAGAAAGGAAAAAAAGAAGAAAAAAAGAAGTCAGTACTGTTAGCCCCTTTCAGAAAAAGAAAACAAAAATTTAAGAGAAAAACCAAAAAGGTTGGACAGGAAGCTGAAGAAGATTTGAAAATTGAAAGTATACAAGGAGACAAATTCAGACAATCATTTTAAGAATAAGAACTTGAGAAGACAATATGTAAAAGTCCGCCAGTGGATGGGCATGGTGAGCTAGAAGCTTCCCAGCAGTTGTCACTGAACGCACCTTCAAGGGAGTCCGCTGCAAAAAGCGAACTTTCGACATTATTTTTACAACAGTTGGCCCCGCCCTCCTCCTGCGTTGCTCAGCTGCAGTTGGTCTAGGTGGCACAATGAAGTCGTCTTTCACGAAGAGTAAAAGGAGAGGCTTACGAGTGCCATGCCAGAATTGCAGCCGATACCTGCACATATCAATGGCAACATGCACAAACCCGTCATTCATCATTGTTACAAGGGGGGGGGGGGGAAAGAAGAWAATTTGCTATATGATCTATCCAAGCATGGAGTTCAGCTGAAGTAACATTACATATTCAGGATACTTACAGCTAAATTATCCCAAAAACAAAAATTTGATGCATAGTTGCAAACATCCCTGATACTAACCTTCTCTCTTTGGCCTTTGGATTGTTGTTAGTAATGAAAAATGCACATAGATTTAGGGGGGCAAGTAACACAGCTCTCTCTCTCTCTCTCTCTCTCTCTCTCTCTCTCTCTCTCTCTCTCTCTCTCTCTCTCTCTCTCTCTCTCTCTCTCTCTCTNCTCTCTCTCTCTCTCTCTCTCTCTCTCTCTCTCTCTCTCTCTCTCTTTGTATTACGAAATTCCAAAATCTCAAGTACTTCCTCCCATTACCTCACTGACGCACTTGATTGAGATAATATCACACACAGGATTGCAACTCCACAGAAAATAGGAATTGCATAGTCACATCCAAAATAGTTTATGAAACCAAAAAGACTCACATCCAAAATAGTTTATGAAACCAAAAAGACTCACCAATCCATTTCTTGGAATCGACCTCAATCTCAAAGGATGTCACCAAATATTGTCAGCAACACTCTTGTCCTCAACGGTTACTAGAATGCACACCTGGAAAGCCACACATACTTCCCTACTAGGCAGGGTACTGGCGCTCAACAATTCAATCCTAGCAATGATGTGGTATTCCACCTCCATCTGCTTCCCAGCTACTGACTTCCAAAGCCAATTGAGGAAAAAACAACAACATTCCTATGGACAGGTAATCCGGACAAGCAGCATTTTATCCACAAGGTGGCCTGGCAAATAGTCACCGGCCCAAAAAGCAGAGGGGCCCTAGGTCTTATAGATCCAATCCGTCAAATTCAGGCTTTACAAATGGGTCATAAGATTAGCCCTCCAGGACAATCTGCAGTGGACCCCACTAGCCCTAAACCACATCAGAGAACTTGCAGCATTCACTTCTCCAACCAACACGACAGGCCTCTTCTGGATTTCCAACAAAACTTGGCCACGTCCAAATAGGAAACAGAGACAATCCAACCAAGCACTTCAGGGAAGCACCAACAACACCCCCCAGACCAAATCCCTCTGGGAGCAAATTCTACACACCTGGAGAATCATCTTCCTAAAAGACAGAACAGGTCCAGAGAAAAAGGACGAAGTCCTCAGACATCCCCTCTCCAAGTTGGAATCCAAAATAGGGGCACTGGCTAAAAAGGGAATATGGCAAATCAAACACATCTGCGACGACCCAAACAAAACCTGGAAAGCAGAAAGAGACCTACGAGACAAGCTAAAAGGTGTACATCACCTCCAAACCAACATAAACCACATCGTAGCCTGCATTCCTCTACACTGGAGAGCCCTACTAAAGTCAGAACAAAAATGACATTACGGAGACAGGGCTACCACCATTGACTCCCCATCAATTCAGGAAGTCCTTTCCTTCAACAACTGTATCTGCTGCGACATATACACTTTAGAGAAACCAGGTAACCCGGTAAGCTACATCAATATGAAAAGCAGAGCAGATGGAACATTCAAAACGAACATCCTGAGAAATCATAGAAGGAGAAAGAAAGAGAGTCTACAAACCCCTCACTAGCATTAGTAACCTAGAGATCGACCCAACGAAATGGACGTGGAACTCCTCGTCCGGCTCCAACCTCATCCTAAGCCTATGTAAGTTAATTGACTACACACCCAAACTAGGATATCAACTCTACACCAAACCCATATCAATATCCCACGTGCTAGGCAACAGGTGGACAAAGGAGGAACCACAACTCGGCAACACCCACTTCAAACTTCCCTAGACCACAGTCTTCTCCATAAGACCTGTCAAGCTAGCCAGGCTGAGATAGCTAATAGCCTTCAGAGCAGTTCCAATAAACCAATGGTTGGCCAGCAGACGCAATTACAAAATCAGAACTAAACAAGACTCCTGGTGCAAGGTATGCAACCTCGATACCCCTGAATCCCTAAATCATTGTTTCATAGATTGCCCAAAGGCCAGATCCCTCTGGCAAGCCTTAGAATCATCATGGTACAAAATCTCAGAGTCTCCCCTCCTCATCAACCCAGCCACACTGTTCCTCGACCTTAAACAATCACCCCCCCTCAAAGGCTTCGAAGCCTTCCTCTCCTCCCAAATCAAGAAAAACACCCCCTGGGCCATATGGAAAAATAGATGCGACAGCACCTTCAAAGACTGACTCACCACCCTAGAAAACCAACTCATCCACGCCCTCTGGAAGAAACAACTCAATCAACTCCCCACGGACCACGGCAAAAAAAACGTTCTCAACCTCTAAACTAGGCAATGGTCTACTTGGCTCAATAAACAACGACAGACTAGTTCTTAGAAATTGGCTAATCATAACACAGACACAAAGCACCTCTACAACTCCCCTAACCCACAAACAATGACCACCAAACCAGACACTCACTACTAATCCACAACCGGATCAGTAAATACTCCTCTCTCCCCAACAAAACCACTCCTCCCCCTCCCCCTCCCCCTCCCCCTCCCACCCCCAAGCGACCGTCTTCATGCCACCACTCTCTCCTTCCCAGCAACCACTACAGGTGTCATCAACAACTGCGGTATAGAAACAACCGCCAAGGACAGGCTACAGACAAAGAGGCATTAAGTGAGGGTTTAGGGTTTTAGCACCAAATACAGAATAAGAACAAAATCCCAGTAGCTAACTTAGGCAGGGGTGAAGGGTGGTCAATCCTTCCTTCAGGAAGTAATCAATGATGTCCCTTGGGTCTCCACACCTTGAGGGGGAGGAGCATGAGTGACTACGTATTGTAATCCTTTCTGACTTGCCGGTGGAATCGAAACCGGAGCCCTAAGGTTCAGTTATATATATATTGTCACATCACTACAAACTAAAAGAGCGCACTTTGCGGAACAAAGAATAAAAGCAAAAAACGGGCACAGTGAAACATGCAAAAATAAAAAGAAAAAGAAAAAGAAAAAACAAGGGCAGATTGAAACCATTAGATTTCTCATTCTTCTTTGAACTCCACCTCCACTGTGCCTCTCACGTGCAAGGCTCGCCACGTTGATGAAGTTGAGCGCGAGCTGCCCCCATCCCCGTATGCCATAACAGCCC